AGGGGGTTTAACTATGGGTGAAATTGTTTTGTGTGAAAAGTTGTCTTGTTTTGATGCATGATAGTGGTCTCTGAAATTAGTGGTCCCCTGTTTGCATTTGCAGGGTTCGGGTAGGGATGTGTGATGACATGTTTCGGGTAGTGGTCCACCATGGTGGGACCTTGATCAAAGAAGTCCCCTTTAATTATATAGGCGGGGAGATAGTTATTTGGGACGTAGACCCCGATAAATGGTGTTATTTTGGAGTATTAGGTTCACTTAAACATATGGGTTACATGCAAGTAGAAGAATTATATTACAATGTCCAACATGTTCTACATAAGGTTGATGATGATAAAGGAGCTATGAACATGATGAATGTGGCTAAGTATTTGGGGAAAGTGAACCTGTATGTTGTGCATGGGGTGGACGAAGCAACTATCTTAGAAAATGATGAGAATAAGATTCTTTTCCTATGTGAAGGTCATGCAGAGAGTGGTGAGGGTAGTGGCGTGGGAGGAGAAGCACATGTTGAGGGTGGTGAAGAAGGAATTACAGACATAGTGGAGGGTGCAGTGGAGGTTGAGAATGACTATGCAGTGGATGTTGACAATGAGGATGCACGAGATGTTGAGAATGACGATGCATTGGAGGTTCAGAAGGAGGATTTACTCGATGTTGACAATGAGGATTGCTTGGATGTTGAGCATGACGATGCATTGGAGGTTGAGAAGGAGGATTTAGTGGATAATGAGGATGTTGAGCATGAGGATGCAGAAGATGCTAAGGTTGCAGTGGAGGTTGAGAATGAGGATGAAGTTGAGGATGTAAGTGAAGAACCATTGGAAGTGGATAATGAGGATGAAATTGAGGTCGAAAGTGAACAACTAGTTGACGTGGACATTCAGGATGGGGGGGAGGTTGATAGTGAAGAAGAAGTGGAAGTGGAAGTGGACAGTGGTGATGAAGCAGGAATGAATTATCTGAGTGGTGATGAATTCGTGGATGAAGATAGTGAAAAAGAAACCCAACAATGTAGGGGTTTGTCAGATGATGATTGAGAGTCTGATAAGCTTTTAACTCCTGAAAATAGTGCAAGTGAGGAGGATGACAATGATGATACAATATATGTAGGTTCTTTCTCAAAATATGTAAAGCAGAAGTCCATGGCAGATTACAAGTGGGAAGTGGACACTATTTTTACTGACAGGGAAGAGTTTAAGGATGCTATTAGAAGGTATGTTGTTCATGTTGGGAGGGATCTAAAATTTATGAAAAATGATAACCGTAGGGTGAGGGTGACATGCATGGGTGGCCAAAGTAAGTGCCCATGGCTAACTTATTGTGGTTATTTGCCGTCATGAAAAATTTGGCAATTGAGGAAGATAATTGATACTCATAGTTGTAGTAGGCAACTTAATATTAAATTGATGAATGCTAAGTGGTTAAGTCAGGAAATAGATAGATCTTTAGTTGAGAATCCTAGTTTAAAGGTGAATGATATTCGTACTAAAGCATTAAGAAAATGGAATACAAATGTTTCAATATCCAAGGCAAGAAAGGCAAAGTTAATTGCCACAAGACAGGTTGAAGGAGATTTCAAAGAACAGTATAAAAGGGTGTACGACTATGGACATGAGCTGTTGAGGTGTAATCCAGGGTCAACAGTACAGATTAAAGTTGACTCTCATAATGGTGACCCAATCTTTCAAAGAATGTATGTTTGTCTCAAAGCTTGTAAAGATAGTTTCATAAGCTGTAGGCCCATTATATGTTTAGACGGATGTTTTTTGAAAGGTGTTTACAAGGGGGAGCTGCTGACTGCTGTTGGTAGGGACCCAAACGATCAAATGCTACCCCTTGCCTATGTAGTAGTAGAAGTGGAGAACAAAGACAGCTGGACATGGTTTTTGCAATTGTTAATTGAAGACCTCGGGGGCACTGAAGTATGTGGAGGGTGCACATGGATGTCAGACCAGCAGAAGGTATAATGTACTACTTATATTCATTTTTAGTTAATGCTTTTGTATAGGATATGGTTTTATTACTAAATTTAATTGTGCAAGGGTTAGTCTTAGCTATCCAGGAGCTTCTACCTCGGGCAGAACAAAGATATTGTTTAAGGCAGCTCTATGCAAACTTTAGGAAAAGGTTTGGTGGGCAGTATTAAAAAATCTGATGTGGAGTGCTGCAACCCGCACATATCCCCAGGCTTGGGAGAGAGAAATGCTGAAAATTAAAGAAGTCAATGTTGAAGCATATAAATACCTCATAGGCATTCCCCCAAGGTAACCCATTAGCCATTATATACACTTTAGTGTCACAGATGCATTGTAACCCATTTGAGAATTCTTTTGTGCAACAGGTTTTGGTCAACGTCTTGCTTCACAGGTCAACCAATGTGTGATACCCTTGATAACAACATCACTGAAGCTTTCAATAGTGTTCTCATTCATGCAAGAGGAAAACCAATTATCACAATGATGGAGGATATCAGAGTGTATCTCATGAAAAGGTGGGCCACCAACAGAAGCAAGGTGGCATCTATGGACTTCACAATGTGCCCAAAGATAAATAAGAGACTTCAGAACGAATGTAATTTGTCAAGATTTTGGCTGCCAAGGTAATGCTATCATTTCTTTTTATATACATTTTGTTATTTACGTACATTGTTCATGTGCTTCATTTCTTTCAACTGGGTTGCACAAAATATTTTTTAGGTTAGGCACACTTCATCCGTTGGGAACAAGTTCACAGTGGACTTGGACACTAAAGAGTGTAACTGTAGAAAGTGGATGATCAGTGGCATCCCATGCTGTCATGCAATTGCAGCAATGAACTACTCCAATGTTGATCCAGACAATTTTATACCCACTTGCTTCAGAAGATCCACATATGAAGAGGTGTATGCGTCCATAATTTTTCCACTCAATGGTCGCTAACTATGGCAAACCACAAATTTCAATGATGTACTACCACCAGTGATAAGGAAGTTTCCTGGGAGGCCAAAGAAAAAAAGGAAGTTGGAGGCATGGGAGTTAACTAAGGACGACACTCAAATGCGTGTTGGGGGGCATAGGAAAAAGTGTAGCATTTGCCGTCAGAGAAAGCACAACAAGAATAACTGCCCTTTACGGCCCCAACCAGCAGAAGCAACCCAGCCAACAGAAGCAACCCAGCCAGCAGTTGCAACCTAGCCACCAGAAGCAACCCAGCCAGCACAAACAACCCAGTCAGCAGAAACAACACAACCATCACAGCCACCTCCAAGTTCCCCAACCCCTCTACCATCACAGCCACTAAGTCCCCAATCATCCCGTCCAACAAAATTCAATGTCAGAAGAAAAGATAGATAGATGAATTGCTTTATTATGTACTGTACTGTCTTTATTTTGGTGACAGACATGTATTGTCTTTTTAGATGAATTGGAGGTTATATGTATTGTCTTTTACTTTGGTCAGAGACATGTATTGTCTTTTTAGATGAATTGGAGGTTATATGTATTGACTTTTACTTTGGTGACAGATATGTATTGTCTTTTATGTTGGTCAACTAATATGTATTGGAGGTATGATGTATTGGAGGTATTATGTGTCTTTACATGAAATGGAGGGATTATGTATTGCCTTTATTTAATGAATCAAAGTGGTTTCATCATGTTTTGGTCAAAGCTTGTACTTAGATTTGTAATATGTGCCATTAGTCATTATCATATGCATTATTGGGTTGACCTATTTCAATATTTTTAAACCAAAAGGGGGACTGATTCGAATAATCTCCACTGATTCCAACATTTTGTACATTGCATTGCATAACTGATGTTACACCAACCAAAACACATTCGCATTGTCAACGTACTTTTTTCAAGCATCCAAATACATAACAGGTATTAAGCTAACTTATAACAAACACCCAAATTCACGATCTAACTAAATCAACCTAAACACAACTTGAAAATGACAAGGTCAACCACAATACACACACAAAAAGCTACAACTAACAACTTCATCCTTTTCTGCATTTTCTGCAAATCTTTCACTGCATTTTCCAGCTCACTTATTCTCTTCAGAATTATGCAATCTTTTTCATCAACGTTGTCTTCACAACACCACTTGAAAAAGTTACAGCAGCTCCCAATTGAAGATCCACCCTGTTATTCACCATGTTAGGGAATCTATGAACAAATGCATCAAGTCAAGTCAAGAAAACATTAACTGAGAAGGGTATACTTCAAACCTTGTAATGAGGACAACCCCAAAAATTTCTCCCAGCATTCTTCGTAGTTCTGGCCACTTTGATTACTGCAATATCACCACAGTAACAAGTAGGGATTAACCTACCTCCCCTACAAGCACCACCATGGGACGAACGAGAAGATCCTTTGGCCCAGCTTTTCGAAAACGAAGAACACCCTTGGGAACCCATTCCTATGTCTCCCCAAACACTTCCCAATCCTCAAAGACCAATTGGGAGGAAACCAAACCCTAACCCCTCTTAATGAAAAACACTGTCACTGCCACGTTATGAACCTAAACAGCCACGTTGCACAGATCACTCCATGCTGTCAGCTGGATCGTTAAATATTTAACGTCGTGACCAAAAAGAATTTAATTGTACATTTTTTTCACAAGTTGGGACCACATTGAATTTTTTAAAAAGGTAAGACAAACTTGAACATTGCCCTTATAAAGAGGGACCAAAAGAGGTATTAAACCTTCATTTTATTATGCCGTTCATTATAAATAATTTCAAAACTCCATATAAATTATTGTAAATATTTTCCTCCAAATTCCCTTATCTAATGTACAAATTAATTAGAAAATATGTTACATTTTTCAATATTTCCAAGTTATCAAATTAAAATATCATATAAACCAAATCTGATTTCTTTTTCTAGACTAAAATCTAGGATTCATGAGCTGCTACATTATCAATTTATGAGCTGCTACATTATGAAAATAATGCATATTATAAAAATAGATACCATATAAGCGTTTAAATTCATGTATTCGTAATGTATATATAAAGTCCCAAACCCCACGAATAAAATAAAAATCTAGGGTTACATACATTACATTCATTTTCCGGTCTGCGTCTCTCTTCCCCTATCTTTCTGTGGTTGAAGTTCTTAAAGTGATGGAGTCACCACCCAGTAATCACCACACCGTCGACGGCGATGCCAACGACGTTAGAGCCTTCTCCCACCGCGACGACGAAGACGACAAGCCCCAACCTCTCACCGGCGACGGTGCCAGTCCCGGGTCGGCAACTAACTCCACTAAACCTTCAACCTCCCTTCATCTTCTTCTTTATTGCTTTTTCGAATTTTCTTAGATTGTGTTCTGTCTAATTAAACTAAACACGGTAATTGCAGAAAGATTTTTATTGGCGGTTTAGCGAGAGAAACCACTATTGGTTAGTGATTTCTTTCTGCACTGCGTTGGTTTGCTTTGTTTTACGGTTAAGCAAATGCTCAATGAGCATCCTTGTAACTAAATAAGTAACTAACTAGCTGTGCTTTTTTCTTGTTGATAATTCTGTGCAGCTCAATTCATCAAGCACTTTGGTAAATACGGTGAGATAACGGATTCCGTTATCATGAAGGACCGGAAGACCGGCCAGCCTCGCGGCTTCGGCTTCATAACTTACGCTGATCCCTCTGTGGTTGATAGAGTTATTGAGGACACTCACATTATCAACGGCAAGCAGGTGCTTATAATTAACACCTGCATTTGATGTTTGAACGTTTGGAGTAGTATTGAGTAAATGAAATGAAATCCAATGCAATGAATTGTTTATAGGTGGAGATTAAGAGGACGATTCCGAGGGGTGCAGTTGGCTCGAACTCTAAGGACTTCCGAACCAAGAAGATTTTTGTTGGTGGAATTCCTTCTACTGTGAGTGAAGGTAGTGTTTCAGTTGAGCCAATTTTCCTCTTGCTGATGTTGCTGATGCCTTACTTAATGTCAAAATTTAAGGATGTAGCATGAATGATGTGCACATGTATATATGTATACGTACAATATGTTATATGTTGAGAAGTGGTTGTGGTGGTATTATATAATTTTTATACACCAACTAACACTTAGAAGACACGTTTGCTGTTGGAATTCATATTGTAATATATCTAAGTTTCATATTATTGCTTTAAGTGTTAAGAGTTCTTGGTGTTTCTGTTCTTACCATGTACAGTGAAGGAAGTCCTTTATGATCTATGTTATCCTTTTCGGTAGAGAACATAATTATTAGTGTACATACCTCTTATGTTCAAGCTTTCTTTGGTGAGAAAGTTCATCACATGCGTGCACTTGTTCATATCTTTTAAGGTGGAAATTTTTGTGTTGAAATTGTTGTATTTTATCACTAGGCCAAAAATTATAACTAGTCAACACAACTCTTTTTACTTAAGAGTATCGTAGTCTAAGCACCATGATTTGATTGTGATTTGGTCTACACTATAACTCATAGTCTGGGGACAACTCTTTCTAGTTAAGAGTGTGACAACCTAGATGTCATGATTTGATTGCTAAGGGACAATTGATGTACCCTTGAACAATCTCCCCCTCTACAATTATTCCAAATCGAACTTTTTTATTATGACTCAACTCACTTGACCATCACGGGATAATTGTGCAAACTGTAACAATTTTTCCCTAAACAATAGCTCTGTTAGTANTAGTGTTCTCATTCATGCAAGAGGAAAACCAATTATCACAATGATGGAGGATATCAGAGTGTATCTCATGAAAAGGTGGGCCACCAACAGAAGCAAGGTGGCATCTATGGACTTCACAATGTGCCCAAAGATAAATAAGAGACTTCAGAACGAATGTAATTTGTCAAGATTTTGGCTGCCAAGGTAATGCTATCATTTCTTTTTATATACATTTTGTTATTTACGTACATTGTTCATGTGCTTCATTTCTTTCAACTGGGTTGCACAAAATATTTTTTAGGTTAGGCACACTTCATCCGTTGGGAACAAGTTCACAGTGGACTTGGACACTAAAGAGTGTAACTGTAGAAAGTGGATGATCAGTGGCATCCCATGCTGTCATGCAATTGCAGCAATGAACTACACAAATGTTAATCCAGACAATTTTATACCCACTTGCTTCAGAAGATCCACATATGAAGAGGTGTATGCGTCCATAATTTTTCCACTCAATGGTCGCTAACTATGGCAAACCACAAATTTCAATGATGTACTACCACCAGTGATAAGGAAGTTTCCTGGGAGGCCAAAGAAAAAAAGGAAGTTGGAGGCATGGGAGTTAACTAAGGACGACACTCAAATGCGTGTTGGGGGGCATAGGAAAAAGTGTAGCATTTGCCGTCAGAGAAAGCACAACAAGAATAACTGCCCTTTACGGCCCCAACCAGCAGAAGCAACCCAGCCAACAGAAGCAACCCAGCCAGCAGTTGCAACCTAGCCACCAGAAGCAACCCAGCCAGCACAAACAACCCAGTCAGCAGAAACAACACAACCATCACAGCCACCTCCAAGTTCCCCAACCCCTCTACCATCACAGCCACTAAGTCCCCAATCATCCCGTCCAACAAAATTCAATGTCAGAAGAAAAGATAGATAGATGAATTGCTTTATTATGTACTGTACTGTCTTTATTTTGGTGACAGACATGTATTGTCTTTTTAGATGAATTGGAGGTTATATGTATTGTCTTTTACTTTGGCCACAAACATGTATTGTCTTTTTAGATGAATTGGAGGTTATATGTATTGTCTTTTACTTTGGTCAGAGACATGTATTGTCTTTTTAGATGAATTGGAGGTTATATGTATTGACTTTTACTTTGGTGACAGATATGTATTGTCTTTTATGTTGGTCAACTAATATGTATTGGAGGTATGATGTATTGGAGGTATTATGTGTCTTTACATGAAATGGAGGGATTATGTATTGCCTTTATTTAATGAATCAAAGTGGTTTCATCATGTTTTGGTCAAAGCTTGTACTTAGATTTGTAATATGTGCCATTAGTCATTATCATATGCATTATTGGGTTGACCTATTTCAATATTTTTAAACCAAAAGGGGGACTGATTCGAATAATCTCCACTGATTCCAACATTTTGTACATTGCATTGCATAACTGATGTTACACCAACCAAAACACATTCGCATTGTCAACGTACTTTTTTCAAGCATCCAAATACATAACAGGTATTAAGCTAACTTATAACAAACACCCAAATTCACGATCTAACTAAATCAACCTAAACACAACTTGAAAATTACAAGGTCAACCACAATACACACACAAAAAGCTACAACTAACAACTTCATCCTTTTCTGCATTTTCTGCAAATCATTCACTGCATTTTCCAGCTCACTTATTCTCTTCAGAATTATGCAATCTTTTTCATCAACGTTGTCTTCACAACACCACTTGAAAAAGTTACAGCAGCTCCCAATTGAAGATCCACCCTGTTATTCACCATGTTAGGGAATCTATGAACAAATGCATCAAGTCAACTCAAGAAAACATTAACTAAGAAGGGTATACTTCAAACCTTGTAATGAGGACAACCCCAAAAATTTCTCCCAGCATTCTTCGTAGTTCTGGCCACTTTGATTACTGCAATATCACCACAGTAACAAGTAGGGATTAACCTACCTCCCCTACAAGCACCACCATGGGACGAACGAGAAGATCCTTTGGCCCAGCTTTTCGAAAACGAAGAACACCCTTGGGAACCCATTCCTATGTCTCCCCAAACACTTCCCAATCCTCAAAGACCAATTGGGAGGAAACCAAACCCTAACCCCTCTTAATGAAAAACACTGTCACTGCCACGTTATGAACCTAAACAGCCACGTTGCACAGATCACTCCATGCTGTCAGCTGGATCGTTAAATATTTAACGTCGTGACCAAAAAGAATTTAATTGTACATTTTTTTCACAAGTTGGGACCACATTGAATTTTTTAAAAAGGTAAGACAAACTTGAACATTGCCCTTATAAAGAGGGACCAAAAGAGGTATTAAACCTTCATTTTATTATGCCGTTCATTATAAATAATTTCAAAACTCCATATAAATTATTGTAAATATTTTCCTCCAAATTCCCTTATCTAATGTACAAATTAATTAGAAAATATGTTACATTTTTCAATATTTCCAAGTTATCAAATTAAAATATCATATAAACCAAATCTGATTTCTTTTTCTAGACTAAAATCTAGGATTCATGAGCTGCTACATTATCAATTTATGAGCTGCTACATTATGAAAATAATGCATATTATAAAAATAGATACCATATAAGCGTTTAAATTCATGTATTCGTAATGTATATATAAAGTCCCAAACCCCACGAATAAAATAAAAATCTAGGGTTACATACATTACATTCATTTTCCGGTCTGCGTCTCTCTTCCCCTATCTTTCTGTGGTTGAAGTTCTTAAAGTGATGGAGTCACCACCCAGTAATCACCACACCGTCGACGGCGATGCCAACGACGTTAGAGCCTTCTCCCACCGCGACGACGAAGACGACAAGCCCCAACCTCTCACCGGCGACGGTGCCAGTCCCGGGTCGGCAACTAACTCCACTAAACCTTCAACCTCCCTTCATCTTCTTCTTTATTGCTTTTTCGAATTTTCTTAGATTGTGTTCTGTCTAATTAAACTAAACACGGTAATTGCAGAAAGATTTTTATTGGCGGTTTAGCGAGAGAAACCACTATTGGTTAGTGATTTCTTTCTGCACTGCGTTGGTTTGCTTTGTTTTACGGTTAAGCAAATGCTCAATGAGCATCCTTGTAACTAAATAAGTAACTAACTAGCTGTGCTTTTTTCTTGTTGATAATTCTGTGCAGCTCAATTCATCAAGCACTTTGGTAAATACGGTGAGATAACGGATTCCGTTATCATGAAGGACCGGAAGACCGGCCAGCCTCGCGGCTTCGGCTTCATAACTTACGCTGATCCCTCTGTGGTTGATAGAGTTATTGAGGACACTCACATTATCAACGGCAAGCAGGTGCTTATAATTAACACCTGCATTTGATGTTTGAACGTTTGGAGTAGTATTGAGTAAATGAAATGAAATCCAATGCAATGAATTGTTTATAGGTGGAGATTAAGAGGACGATTCCGAGGGGTGCAGTTGGCTCGAACTCTAAGGACTTCCGAACCAAGAAGATTTTTGTTGGTGGAATTCCTTCTACTGTGAGTGAAGGTAGTGTTTCAGTTGAGCCAATTTTCCTCTTGCTGATGTTGCTGATGCCTTACTTAATGTCAAAATTTAAGGATGTAGCATGAATGATGTGCACATGTATATATGTATACGTACAATATGTTATATGTTGAGAAGTGGTTGTGGTGGTATTATATAATTTTTATACACCAACTAACACTTAGAAGACACGTTTGCTGTTGGAATTCATATTGTAATATATCTAAGTTTCATATTATTGCTTTAAGTGTTAAGAGTTCTTGGTGTTTCTGTTCTTACCATGTACAGTGAAGGAAGTCCTTTATGATCTATGTTATCCTTTTCGGTAGAGAACATAATTATTAGTGTACATACCTCTTATGTTCAAGCTTTCTTTGGTGAGAAAGTTCATCACATGCGTGCACTTGTTCATATCTTTTAAGGTGGAAATTTTTGTGTTGAAATTGTTGTATTTTATCACTAGGCCAAAAATTATAACTAGTCAACACAACTCTTTTTACTTAAGAGTATCGTAGTCTAAGCACCATGATTTGATTGTGATTTGGTCTACACTATAACTCATAGTCTGGGGACAACTCTTTCTAGTTAAGAGTGTGACAACCTAGATGTCATGATTTGATTGCTAAGGGACAATTGATGTACCCTTGAACAATCTCCCCCTCTACAATTATTCCAAATCGAACTTTTTTATTATGACTCAACTCACTTGACCATCACGGGATAATTGTGCAAACTGTAACAATTTTTCCCTAAACAATAGCTCTGTTAGTAATCAAACTCGTGACCATGGCTTTGATCCAATTGTTGTATCAAGTGCTTACTACTAAGCTAAAAGCTATAGTTGATAGTCGATGTGTAACTCTTTCTATTTAAGAGTGTTGCCAACTCAAACAACAAAAACCATGATTGTTTGTGACTTGACCCACTTGGCGTACGTCATGCAACAAAAATGTCTCCTAATATACAAATTGATATTTTGTGGTATGTCATGTGTATACAAAGTATGTTAAGTTTATTAGCCAGGCTTGACTTTTCTTTAAAGCAATTATTTGTAAAGTAACTAGCTAACCATTAAAGAGATACAGAAAGTAGTTGTGATTTTGTTGTTTTAATTGGAGATGAACTTGGGCAGATGAATTTAGGGATTTCTTTACACGCTATGGAGAAGTCAAAGATCACCAGATAATGCGGGATCACTCTACTAATCGATCACGTGGCTTTGGGTTTATTACCTACGACTCTGAAGATGCTGTTGATGATCTCTTAGCTGTGGGGAACAAAATTGAGTTTGCTGGAGCTCAGGTGAGTTTTTTGTTGATCTGAAAATTAAATTACAAACCTTATTTGGTTTTATAACTGATTTCCAAATGTTGAGTTTCAAGTCCTGCTTTAAAGGACAAGTAAACAGTGAGAATGGTTTATTGTTTTATGGACATCTTGAATTTCCTATCCTTAAGTATATGCTTGCCATAGGCAATGAATCGTAATTATGTAGGCTGTCCTTAACTGTAACAAATCAAGGCATTGAACACAGTTGACTGCAATGTTTTGTTGGTGATTATTGCCTTTAGTGTCGGGATGAGATGATCATGGGTTCAGCAATAAATTTAATGCGCATTTCTATTGATGATAATCTATTTGCCTTGTTCCTATTTAATAGAGTTAGAACTTCCGAGTATTTTAAGTGTAACATGGGTTTTTTATTGATGAGGTAAAATATTAAAAAAAAATTACAATTGTTAAGGAAACATTACAAATTTTTAATATAAGAAATTAGCAATGCCCAATAATTCATGTGCACTTATAATAAGTTTGGGCCAATATGGTTATATTTCTGATAAAATGCAATGGGTCCAATGGAAAATACCAAACCTGGGCCCAAGTGGATCACATTTAAGTACCATTATTTCTTGGTTGAATGTACATCCAGTGGAACGAGTTTCCATCCTTAGAACACAACATTTTGGGATTGAACAAGTGGGCAGTGGCTTATATTCTTAAGGCTACTGTAATTTTTATGTTATAAATTACTTTAGAAAGAATGGTATGGTATTTTTTCACACATGACTCCTTTTGTACGATTTAAATCAAAGTCCTATAGCTTGATTTTACTGGTGACAACTTCAAGGAGGCATATTTTAGGTCTTATTGCTTTGTATACCACCATCATTTTATGAATCAAAGTCATCATTAACATTAGACAAAATATGTTGATAAAAGAAAATATTACACCAAATATATTTCCAATTTACTATCCTGTGAAAGATCAAGATAAAAGATGCTTGAATTGTTTCACTTTCATCCATTTAGTTTTGGTTATCTTCACTTTTGTAGGTGGAAATCAAGAAGGCGGAACCAAAAAAGCCCAATCCACCAGCCCCATCATCCAAGCGATATAATGATGAGCGGTCTTCATATGGTGGTGGATATGGAGATGCTTATGATGGATTTGGTGGTAATTTTGGTATGGGTGACTATAGGTCAGGTGGTGCCTATGGTGGTAGGGGAAGTGCTTATGGTGGCTTTGGAAGTGAATTTGGTGGTTATGGAAGATATGCTGGTGCCATGGGGCCTTATAGAGGTGATCCTTCTCTTGGGTATGCTGGTAGATATGGTGGAGGCTTTGGCAGAGGCTATGATCTTGGTGGGTACGGTGGAGCTAATGAGGGTTATGGGGCATATGGTGGTGGTGGTTCCTCTGGTAATGCTTATGGAAGCAGCTATGATGCCAGCCTAGGGGGTGGATATGGAGGAGCTGGTGGAGGCTCCTTTTATGGGACTAGAGGGGGATATGGTGGTGCAGGAACTGCTCGATATCATCCTTATGGAAGATAGAAGTTTGTCATCTCAGAAATATAGTCTAGGGCTAATATGTCTAGTATCAAAGCAAGTTTGTAGTTTGTTGTGTTTGATCATTCAGTTCTTTAGGCTACATATTTGCCTTTTCTTAACGAAAGATCTGTCAGTGATAATTTTATTGTTAAGCCCATTAATTATCAGCAGCACACTATCGCCAGCTATAGAAGACCAAAAAATTTTTGTTTAGCTCGGCCCACTGGAAGCTGCAAAATGTGCACATGGTTGTACTCTTAGTTTTGTTAATGGCTACATTTGTCATTAATGCTCTGTACGTTTATTTAATTTTTATATACTTTCAGACTGTAAGATAGAAATGAGTTATTTGAAACATGACATTGAACAATTGTGTAAGAGAGGTAAATTTGAAAAAGTATAGCATTAAATATTATTTTCTACTCCATAACACTAACAATTTGTTGTTGTGGAAAGGAGAAATAGATTCTTATAAGAAATGATCAAGCAATGTTAAATCTCAACAACACTCCCAAGCACTCATGGGCTAACTGAATTTACATAAGGTATTTACTACAAAAGACTTCCTATAAATTGCTAAAATATAGAAAATTCAAAGTATCTTAATTCTTTTCATCTTTTTTACTCCAATGCTTTATTCCAAACATAAAAAAATGTCTTCAAAAGTTTAACCTAGTAAGTAATGAAGTAATGTAACTTGGACACTCTTAAACATCTAGAATAATTTTGGAAATGTTACGTTTATATAAGCTTGATAGAGAACTATGATGTAATCCTTCAAAGGTTGATAAGATCTTAATGACCTTAAGTGAGGATGATAAGATCTTAATGACCTTAAGTGGTTTTATGAAACGACATAGAGAGACAAAAGATTATTCATATAGAGAACAAATTTGCACTTCAAGAGAAACCATATGGAAATAAGATCAAGTTACAGAAGAAAATAGATTATGAAAAGATACAGGGAGAGCACACCACCTTTAGAAGAGATTCATAAAGAGATTATCTAAATAGGCTTATGCTAAATACCACTATCATAAGATTTTATTAAAAATAAAAATTAAAATATAAGAAAAGAACAACATGGGAGTCAACACACTAAATTTATGATAAAATTACATTGAACACAGACAAAATATATCTATTAAGAATGAACTAAGTAAAAACATGATTTCCTTATTAAATCATTTTATACTTTAAACTCTATATACCTAGAAAACAAGGCAAATTATTCATTCTATTAAAAAATCAATAGTCAATCTTTTCACATTTCAAAAAAAAATGTTTCTAAAACTTATTTTTAGACATCTTATTTTGAAGATTGAGTATTAACTTTGTTTCCCCTTTCCTTACTACTTAAAGAATATTTTCAAGATTAAAGTCAAGATAAAAGTATTCTCAAATAAATCTCTCAAAAGAAATTTCATATATTCTTCAAATGTAATTTACATTTATTTATACAAGAAATATCAAGATCAAAGAACATGAAGAGTTACCAATTTTAGAATAAAGAAATTATAAGTGTAAACATAAGACTTAGTTAAGGATTATAATTTGCTAATCCTATATTTAATACTTATTATTTTTTCTTTCGATTAGGGTGAGTGTGAAAAGAAAAAGAAATGAGAGAGAGAGTGTGAGAAGTGAAATTATTTAGATTACATAAAAGTGAAATAAATTTGTAAAGTTTGTAATAGAAATAATTGATGTAACCAAAAATAATATTAATGGTATTATATAATAAATTAGTCACATGTATTGAGAAAAAAATTTAAATTAAACTTGAATAATAAATATTTACGAAGTGATTAGTTTACTTGGTGCAAAAAATACTCAAGTATTTTAAAAAAATAATAATTATATATATAATATAATTTGGAAAGGAAATTGAAACTTTTTTTCTCATACAATTATACAAAAGTAAAAATAAATTAAAATTTTTAATTTCTGAAATTGAATTTAGAATTTAAATTCAAACCTATTGTGTACAATTAAAAATGTTATATCCTTTTACATGTCCTTAATTTGGAGTTACATTACTACTAATTCTGTCAACTAATCATACCACAAGTAGATAATTCATTTAAATATACTTATGTGTACAATCTTCCTTTAATAGAAAAATTTTCAAATTATAAATATCATAGTATTAAGAATATATATATATATATATATATATATATATATATATATATATATATATATATATATATTATTTACATCATATGTATATAACACTAAATCTTTTTCACCTTTGAGTACTCTGACTTATAACATCCTTTATTCCTGTGTAACATACCACTATAAGGGTGAAAGAGCTAAGTTAACATATTTAAATATTATAATTCATTTATAAACCAAACATTTTAAAACAGCACATCTCATACAATGTCTTTACTTCTCCATTTGTTAAATGGCCTTATGCTCACACAGACCCAAGGACTTAAACCCGACAAAGTTAATTCCATATAACACGATAATCTTTCATATTGATCCAGAGTATAGACTCACACCACCTAACTATTTTCTTCCATGTAAGTTTGAATATTTAAAGTTTAGATAATGAAAAACCCAATTAATACACTTCCTAAAATCACATCACCTAGTAATTCCTCCTTAAAATACTACAATCTCATCACATATACTTTCAATCAAACTATCTTAATAGAATATGATCATTGCCCTGATTCTACTCAACATCACACACACACACACAAAACACACAGTCACACAGACACAAACACATACACACATAACACACAGACACACAGACATAGACACAGACACAGACACAGATACAAACACACACACAGACAAGAATGTACACAGAAACACAAACACACACATAAACACACAAACACACACAGACACACACACACAGAACACACAGACACACAACCACAAACACAGACACACAAACACAAACACACACACACACACGGACACACACAGACACAGACACACACAGACATACATAGACACACACACACACGGACACACACAGACACACACACACACACACATGGACATAAACACACTAACAGACACACACACAAAGAAACATAGACAAACACACAAAAACACAAACACACGCACACACACATAAAAATGCTCAAGAGATGTGAAAAATTTTAAGCGTAACTAGTGAAGGCATAGATGATGTAAAACATGCAAGAAAGAACTTATTGATTCAAGAATACGAAATGTTCCAGATGCAAGAAGGCGAAAAAAACTACGAGGCATAGAAGTGTTTCACACATATAGTCAATCGTCTCTCCGGGTTAGGTAAAACCTTTGATATTGACAATTAACTATTAAAATATTGAAATGCTTTAACAGGACATGAAAACCTAAGGTCACGACCATCATAGTGTCACAAAATCTTGCAACCATTTCTATGGTGACTCTTTTTGGTAAGTTAAGAGAAAATGAACTTGAACTTGGAAAGTTGAATGAAGAAGACAATCAAGGAAGGAAAAATAATACTACTTTTAAATCCAAGGTTATCAAAAGAAAAAGCCTGAAATTAGATGATGACTCTAACAATGAGAATATGAGTCTCATGATAAAGAAGTTCACCAAGTTCGTGAAGGCCAAAGGTAAAAGACAATTAAAGAGTAAAAAGGAGAATCAAGGATCCTCCTTTAATTTTAAGTGTTGTGAGTATGGAGAAATGGGACACGTTAATGCTAAAACAATATCGTATAAGCAAAACTTGATTTGAAGTTTAACATAACGTCCAAACGAAATAGCATTTAATTGTCTAGGATAAAAGATAAGAAGTGTAAAATGTTACAACTTAAATACCCTAAACGATATAAAAGCATCTAAGTAGAATAACATCTAATGTATGATTGACTGTTTATGATAAGCATTAAACGCTATAATGAATTATAATAGAGAGTCTAAAATAAACCAGGTCTAATGAAAGTTTAAAACAACCCTAAAAGAAATAACTTATTTTTCTAATTGACATATGTTACTCAAACAAACAACGCTAAACGATGGTACTTGAATTATTGCCTAAACGCTTAGGATCGTCTAACGCTTTAAAGCATATACTTTCTAGTACTTTTTTGTCTGTTATGTTATGCTCTCTTTTTCTGTACAGATATCCACCTTTATCAAAAAGCCTGCTCAAAATAAGAATAACGTTAAGAGATAGGAAGATATTCAAAGAATGTTTCATACATACTTTCTGCCCGCCCTTTCCGTACACAACACAATTGTTTTGCCAAGACACAACATAGCTTCTAACTCTACCTTAAAGGCTACAACTTTAGAAGAAAGTTAAAAGCTCTAATTAATGAATATTTTTTGAAGAAGACTATATAAAAAGGACTACATGAAGAGAAGACCATTAAGAATTATTTTATTGCAATACGCTCACGCTGCTTCTCTTTAAGATCTTTCTCTTAAGATTTTTCTTTAAAAAGAAAATTTCTTTTACAAGTTTTCATAATATCATTGTATTGTTTTCAAATCCTCTCAAAAAGGGTTATTCATTTTGTTCTTGTAATATTTCAAAACTCTTTGTGTTTGGTTTTCAGAAGTGAAATAAAACACTTGTAAAAGTTTACTTAGTGGAGTTAGACCATCTAGTCAGATAGATTAGTGATACCAAGAGTGGTCATGCTTAACCAGTGGGTTGGTTATAAACTAAAAGTGGTTAAACTCGTTTATAACAATTCATGAGTAATGGTACCCCTTAAAGGAATTTAAGGGAGAATTAGATGTAATTCAATTTGGAGCAAACCATTTTAAAAACAATTATGCCTTTTTGTTGTTGTTTTTTCAAAGGTTTTCCAACAAACGTAGTTTTAGAAACTCAAGTGTTTAACATCTGTTGTAGACTGTCTAACCCAAACAAAGAGAATTAAATACTAATTTGCAAAAAGTTTAAAACCCTATTCAAACTCGTTCCTGTGCTTTAGTCAAAGTTGACTGCTCAAATACTAAAATGACGGAGACAAAAAAGGAAGAATATTTTTCAAGAAAAAGACCTATATTGCTTGAGAGGATAATGATTCAAGCAAATTTGACTCAAATGAAGAACTTAATGGTTGACAATAAATCTTCTGGAAGCAAAACAAGTGTTTGTAGTAATAATAAAAATTATGATAAATTGTATCATGCATTTCAAGAATTATATTATGAATCTAAAAAGTAATCTTTTTACATAGTTAACTGAAATCAAAATATAAAGCTTTCCAAAAGAACTTTGAGAAATCTTTGAAAGAAAAGAAATTTTAAATAGTAAAATTTCAATTTTAGAGGAAGGTAGAAATATCCCTATTAAGAGTAAATGTTGTAAGGAGCATTGAAAATTTCTAATCTTTGA